CGCCCGCCCCACCTGTACTGCTTTACAGTCTCATGCCAGCATCCAGAAGGTTGGGATATCCTGGATATGTGCTGACTTCGGAGCTTGGAATAAAATGCTTGTAGCTAGGGACTTGGTACAATGCTCCAATATACCAGCAAGCAAACTGGACTGAGTCTGAGTGTTCCCATTGTGTCAGGACTGTCGTGGAAGGTGGTATGCCAATAGTTTGCTAGCAGCCAGAATGTCTATCTTGCAGGTCTTGGCTGGAAGAAGAAATGTTATTAGCTAGATACCTATTGGTGGTAAGCACAGACTTCAGCTGGAGAATTTTAAGTACTTTGGGAAAAGTGTCCATTCTGGTCTGAAACCTTTTTTTTTTCTTCCTCTTGCTTTAGAATCAAAGCCAGACTTGAGGAACACAAGCCAGAAAGAGTAAAGCCTTTTATGACTGGGGCTGCAGAACAAATCAAACACATCCTCGCAAACTTCAAAAACTACCAGGTAAGCCTGGGATCTTTGACCCTTCCAAATAAGTGCACCACTGGTAATGAAGGCTGTTAGCTGGAGTGTCTGCTACTGAACAGATGCCTTGTAGGAAAGATGGTTGAGGGCAGTCTTTTTAATTTGTCAGTGTCTTAACATTAAAGCTAACTGTTGTGAATATCAGTAAGTAGTGAAGATGACCAAAGCTTAAACTTCAATTCTCTTGACTGAAGAAAATGCTGAGCAGCAGCAAAGACATTGAAAATTTAATTTAGGACAGCATTCTTTGCAGCCACAAGCAAATCAAGGAGACTTTTCAGTGGTGTTTTGATCAGAACTGCTTTTTAACCTTTGTAAGAGGAAGCCTACAAGCTTCAGTGGTAGCTACTGGTGGAGTGCCTTTCACTTCACAGGTGCCTCAGTAACACCACCTTTTTCCCCTCCCAAGTTTTTTGTAGGTGAAAACATGAATCCAGATGGCATGGTGGCTCTCCTGGACTTCCGTGAGGATGGCGTGACACCCTATATGATTTTCTTTAAGGATGGTTTAGAAATAGAGAAATGTGTAAGTAATAGAATTGGACTTGTTAAGACTGTTAGCCATCCAAGCCTTCCCTTATCTGCTGAAATACATATCCGTGTCGGTTAGTTTGCAAGACTAAAATCATTAATTTAGAATTGCTATCCATGTCAGCAGCACTAGCATACAGTGGTTAGTGGCTGAAGAATGTGGCTTGCACTTCAGGAGACCTTACCAGAGTGGGGACCAGTGTGCATTCATGAGTGTTGGAGCATGGGTTAATGGATTCTTGCAGTCTCTTCCAGCCCTGTGCGTGCCAGTAACAGAAGTAATGGTATGGGAAAGTGAGGTATTGCACTTAAATTAAGAAATGCATGTAGCTTGTGGTAACTGGAAGATGCCACCTTTTAAAGATGGTCCCACCCCTGAAAAGATTCTACCATGGGAATCCAGAGCAGTAGTTTTAAAAGACTGTATTGTATAGATCAAATGTGGCAGAATTCATCATACGGATTAGATTCCTCTTCCTTCCCTTCTGCTTAATTTTGTGGCACTTAAATTACCAGAGCCAAGCCCTGAGTCTCTTTTTTAAATGCTTAGTTTCTTGTCAACACCGTGGACTTGATTCGGGTTACAGCTAATTTGTAGATACCTATAGACTTGTTACACATTTGATAGACGTGAGCCTTGAATTGCTCCTTTTTTTCTGTTCCCCCTCAAACTCTAGTGGCATCAACTTGCACAAAGTGGTGTTTTAAAGCAAACATGCTCACTGTCTGTGCAGGTAGTAGTATTTGGATGCTCTTTAGTCAGTCCCACCATTTGTGGCCTGCCATTGGGATAGTTCATACTGCTGGCTGTGATGCCACTTATGTTTTATCTGCCATAACAATCCCACCCCTGTAATTGCCTTATGGGCTTGTACTGCAAGGCACCTAAATCAAACCAGTGGTCATTCACAGCTGAAGTCTAAAAACCATGCAAAGGAAAATCGCTTTGAGTTTGTTAACCTCCTGGTAGGTGGGAGTCTATGAAGATCGACTTTCCCCCTACTTTCATAGGCTACCCAGAAGTTTGTGTTTTGGTTTTCTTTTTTTTTGTTTTTGTGTTGGGAATAAATATTCTATTACTATTACCATTATCTGCCACCACCATGAAAAAGGTCAAGACTTGTGGAATTAAAGTAGTACCTACGCAAGAAGGCGTGTCTACACAAGAAGTTTATTGTAGAGTTGCCCAGCTAGCTCCACAGGTAATGTCTCTCAGCATCTACATGTGAAGTGCTATTAGGACTGAGTAAACCAACTTAACTCTGTCATAGGTTAGTATTTGTAAACACAAGTACTATCCTACAGTGGAGACTTACTTTGCAGTAACGCATGTGTAGATGCTGACCCAGCTGTCTGGGGCACAAGGGTGCTTCAGTGAAGAGGCTACCTGCCAGTTAGCCTTTCACTGAAGCACTGTTGGGCCCCAGCCAGCCCCTCTACAGCACATATTTTGAGCTGGGCTGGAGCAGCCCTGGGCTGGTAGGCAGTGCGCACCCCTCCCTGCCACCAGCTGCTCAAATCCAACTTGGCATGCTACAGTCCCAGGCACATGGTTGTTGCTCCCAAGTGCCATGTTCAAACTCCAGTGTAATATGTGCCAGAGTTTTTATTGCTGCACATTAGACATGTAAACACACCTGGTAAGCATCTGTCCTTAATGACTGAGTAGAAACTGCTGTACCACTTTCTCTTACCTTGCCTAAAAAGAAAAAGTTTTTTTGCTGTTTTTCTTAGATAAGCTTTAACATAACTGTGTCCTTCACAGGAGTGTAGTGGGTGAGTGACAGTGATCTATAGTAGAAGGGCTCCTCTGGAAAGAGTTGGAGTTGGTGCATTATAAGCCTGTAGAATTATGCATCCCACTGATTGACCATGAGCACTTCTACTGCTCCTTGGCTTGCAACAAGATGCAAAAGGAACTTCCTTGTACTTTCTATCTGCCTGATCCTTTGACAGCACAGATTGAATAGGGGAAAAACATGTATATCTTGGAGGAATTGACCATTTGCTTGAACCTAAACTAACAATCCCTTTTGTTACAGTAACAAAGCCAAGCAATATCATTTGTGGATCACCTGTCGTCATGACTGGCTGCTGGGTTTCTTTTTTATTTTTTCCTCATCAACACAACACCAGGACTTGGCAATGTGTAACAACTGGACTGATTGTCATCTTGAGCTTCATTCACTTTATTTTGACCCTGATTGGAGTGGAGGCATTGTTTTTAAAACATCTGTCATGTAGGTTGTCTAAAATAAAAACTCATTTAAACCCATTTTAGGTAATGCCTCTTAGTCTAATGTGTTTCTTGAGTGAGCTTTTCAATAAGCTTGCTGCAAGGTTTGTGCCTAAGGATCCTGTACTTCGCAGTAGTATAGTGTTGTCCTAGCACACTTCAGCATAAGACTGTCTTCAGATAAACTTCATGCAATTTGCTACTTCTGACGCCTGGAATGCAAGAGCAGGCTCCTCACCTCTGCCAGCCTGAGGTGACTAAGGGAGTTGCCCAAAGAAGTGCCAACAGTGCAGTGGACCTTCTGCATCTCTTGCCATTCTACACACTGAAGTAATCAACTCTCTGGAGGAGATACCAAAAACTAATAAAAATGAAACCGAATATCAGCAACATAATGTTGAGTACTGGCTGAGCTTTTTTTTTATCAGGCAAAGATAATTGAGTTTGTTACTTGGTTGTTTGCTGTATTATGTAAAGGTTGAGATGGGAAGGAGAGCTTTTAAAGAGTAGCACCAGGAGCCTCTACCTTGAGGAGATGTTTTTTGGGTTTGGTTCTTGTTTTGTTGTTTTGGTTGGGTTTTTGTTGTTTTTTGGTGGGGTGGAGGGAGAGAATGTGGAGGCAAAGCTTATATATAAAACCTTAGCTTAATTGTACTAACTTGATTACATTGTGTGAACATTCTTGATAGTTACTTGTAACTGATTAGAAACCTTACTAGGTAGACTTAAATGAAGTTTATGGAGTTCTGGAATTTGGAGTGTCTACATTCCCATAAAAGCTAGATTTAAAGATAAGATGCATTCTATAGGGAATAGCTTAGTTTATTTAGGACTTGGTGCTACACTGTGAAAAAGATACTTTTATTACAGATGTTATAATTACTGATTTTATTGGACAAAAAACTGGGTTTAGCGTGTTCTCTGCTGCACTGAGACTGCATCTATTTGACAAACCTGGAGCAAATTACCGTTGCTCATTTGGTTTTTACCAAGATGCAAAAGTAAAGTCATTCCCTGCGCTTTCTGCCTGTCCCTCGCATGACAGCCCAGATTGAATAAGGGTGTATATATATGTATGTGTATAGTTCATATCTTTGAAATGGCTTGCAGCTAGCTAGTGGAGCTTGGTATACTTGAGCAGTAGCCATGACTTCTTTGCTGGCTGTTTTACCCTGCAATGGTGAGGAACCTTTTACTTGGATGTACTACTTGACACCTGTGATGTGATATGCTAGGCATGGGGTCAGGTGTTACAGCCCACACGCTAACCTTTCCAAGGAGCATTACCTACTGGAGTGATTTCCAGGTAAACAGGAAGTTTCTGTTGGCTCATGCTAATAATGCACTTTGAAGCAAGAGCCAAAAGGATATTGGTGGAAGGCAGACCCATAATTGCTTGTATGGGTCTATGCCACTCCAGTCAATGGTTCAAGGGGCAGAAGCTGAGCAGATTTTTACAGCCCATCTCAATAACTCAGTAAGGTTCACCAGTTACTGAACATCTGCTTACAGTCCTAAAGGGCCTGCTCTGGTAGGTTTTCTTCGTAATTGTAGCTAGCACACTGACGGCACAGGGTGCTTGCCTCAGAGCTGAATGAGGTTATAATCACTTCATGCATGTTATCCTTGTGGTTAGAGTACTCAGGGAAGCGTGAGAGTGCCCCTTTTTTTTTTAGGCTGAATTGTTTCAAATTCCTATCTCCTATTGCCATGCTCTGACTATCAGAATGGAAGCTGTATGGGACACTCACCACTTTTTGAAGGTGGGCTACTGTGTAGCAAAGAAGGCGAGATTAATGAAGCCAATGTAGCCCAGTGATAAGTATTAGTCTCCAAGGTGGGCTGCCAGATGGGTAAGTTAGGCTGGGTGAAACTGCGCTTATACTGTGTTGTGCAGACATCCTGCGTTCCCCTCCCTGCCATAATGATTACTGAAGTATTTTAAATTGAATGTTCATTAGAATAGACCAGACGCAGCCTTCCACTTCATTCCCCCTCCCTCCTAAATACCTGAGTATATAAAATGCTAGGCTAATCAGACAAGAACCCTGATAGCTTGTAGTGGGGGATGTTTATACAAAAAAAATGCACTAGCAACTTCCTTCAGATGCCTACTCTGCCATTTTACTCATGTTCTTTTAGTGTTTGGCTTGCTGTTTAGCTAACAGAAACTTTTGAACTGTAGAAAGATACAGCTGTGTTGTATATGTATTCTCTCATCTAGCATGGCCTTTTGGTATTGCAGTACAGTGGTCTCTCCCTGTTCTTTCAGTGAATGTTTTCCATTCATCTGAACAGCTGTAATCAGCTTCAAACTTGGCTCCATCTGTTGCTTACCTCAGCTGAGAGCTAACTTCAGACTGAATGCACTCCTTATTTCTGTTGTCTTAAGGCAACTCTATTCTGCTTATCTCTGTTTCTATAGCATGTCTAGACTACAGTCTGTTTAGCACCAGTTAAAAATGAATGTGCCCTATAGTTCAACGTACACACTACTGAAATCTGGATGTTGCAGCAGCTGTTACTGTCATCTGTGCCATCCTATTTAAAAAAAAAAAAAAAAAATGTAGCAAGTTGCTGTGGACAAGACTTACTTTGTTATTTTAGACCTGCAGTGCTTAACAACTGAGAAAGTAGTAAGTGGGCTGCTGCATGGTAAAGAGAAGCTAGGCTTTAGGGCCTGGGTTGGGATTCATGCTCCCAACACGTTCTTGCTAAGGCTGCTGTCTGAGAAATCACCTGTTATGGGGTGGTGGTGGATGGGTTGGTATCAACCTGGAAAGATGTGGGCAGTGGGGTCCC